TTAATTACACATTTTACCGCATGTATAAATGTGCAACACAAATTGCACAAGAATTATTTTCTCGATAGAAGAAATTGAAAATCGGTGGAATTCAATAAACGACAAAGAAATTATTGATTGATTGATGGCTTTGAAATTCAATCACATAAATCCTCTTGCTATTCCATATATGTGCATAAACGCTTCAAATGTACCATATTTCCGTGGAAAAATTGATCCAATTCATAAAATGCATTTTATTGGAATTAATGCAAATTAACCGCTAAAAATGTGTAAAAAGTTTGTAATCACGTGAGTGATTTAAGACAGATATATATATATAAGCAGAGGAATAATATATCCTATATATTAAGAATAAAAAGATAATCAATATTTTATTGTGAATCGTTGTGATATACTTGTATATTTCTGCGAAAATAATATATATATTATAAACATAATTTGTTTTAATTCAATATAATATAAAAGAATGAAAATGCATATATGTGGATTAAAAGGGCGATTACAATTTTTTTTAATGTATCTGAGGAATGTTAATATAAATATTGCATTTTTTCATATAAAATGATTGTGCTGTTAAAGTTAATGGAATATTATAGTTTACAATATTTAGTTTATATACATATATATTTTTGGAAGCTTTATCGCGAACATTTGATATGCATGTGTTGTGTGACATATGAAAAGAAAAATAATTTTCATTGAAAGGTCACATTTTTTTTACTACTATAGACATCTTTCTCTCTTCAGAATGAATAGCAAGTTTGATGTGAAACGCGATATGAGATATATTATTAAAAAAAAAACTGAAAACTGTTACTAAGCCATTGAGTTGCAGAAAGCCGAGATTGGAAAACTCGAAGAATTTGTCTGCGTACAATCCGCAATTTTTTTATTACTATTGTCAAGCGAAGTGCGTTGCGTCGAGTTATGCAAAAAGTAGCTATTCCTTTTACCGGTGGCAGTCATATGCATTGCAAGTAGGATTATTCTTGAGCTCTTATAGATCAACGACAGTCTGCTTCCGCTCTTACGAATATAGAGAGCAGAGATCAGTGTCGAACGAGAATGCTATCCGACTCGATTAACGTATCGGAAAACTCATCCGCGCGATCTCACGTACTCGATGATACGGACTTTAAGCCTTTGCCATGGCGATTCCGAGTGCTATTCGAACTCCATCTCTTTCTCAACACTCATGAATACGTACTCCTACATTTTGCATTTCAAGCGCATCGAAATTTTATTACGTTAACTTTCAACGTCTATTGGATACACTTTTTTACACGGACGATTTTGTTTCGTTGTAGTTCCTTTGTAGGATTATTAAAAAACAAGGGAAAAAAAAACGAGCTTTTGTTTCTCTCTTTAGCAAATTATTTTTATATTGATCTTAGTGAGATGACAATCGCAACTGCAGTGAAAGAATACTGTAATAATGTATTTACGAAAATTTGTATTTTTAAACAAAATTTTTTAAACAAAAAAAAATGTAAAAAGAGATTTTTATCCGTGAAGAATTCTCGATGCTATATTGGCACACGAAAGATCAGGGAAGAACGTTTCTCCTACTCTTTTCCCATTCTTATCTTTCTTCCCTATTCCCAGTACATGCCATAATGCGGTCGCATACGTAAGTGAAAAAACATAACGCGGAATATCTAGGGGAGGAAACGCTCTTTCGACTGCGCATGAAGGAGTTTGGATACGGCGGCTGTAGATAGCTGGGTAGGGAAGAAAGGGTCGTGAAACGACGTAGTATATCGATGGTAGTCTGCAATGAGAAGGAAAGAGAGAGAGAGAGAGAGAGAGAGAGAGAGAGGAGGAGAGGAGGAGGAGGAGG